AATCATTCATAGAAAATGTCATTCGGCTTCTGTTTTGTTTTTGAATATTTGAGAGTGAGTGATTTTCCCACCTGCTGGTTCACTCTCCAAATAGCTGCAATGGCCAGGGCTAGGCTGGGCCAAAACCAGGAGCCTAGAACTCCATCCAGGTCTCCCATGTGGGTGGCAGGGTCCCAAGTACTTGGGCGATTTTGTGCTGCTTTCCCAGGTGTATTAGCAGAGAGCTGGATCAGAAGTGGAACAGCTATAATAGAGTACTTAAATGGGTTACCAGCATCACAGGCAGTAGTTTAACTTGCTGACTCCACTTGGCTTCTGTTTTTCCCTCAGGCATAATAACTTTTTCTGTATATCACATCTATGTATTAGGTATTAAAATTTAGAATCCTGGAAGTGCTCAAAGTTATTCTGAGCTTACTGTGAACACCTGTAGACCTGCCAATAGCCCAGGAATATAGGTAGTGACAGCTTGCTAAGCAAGGAGCCCCTCTGACTCCCATCATTGTGATACTGCTGCTGAAGATAGAGAGATGAAGAAGACAAGGCCCTCTTCCCTTAAGTAATTCAATCTTGTCAAAGAGAAATCCAGTGGAATATACTTATATTATATTATATTATACATATTACACTAGTTATACTATTATAATAAATATACTACAGAGTGATAAGAGAAATGAAATATGTAAAAAGCTCAGAGGAATCACCAAGGTCTCGTGAAAAGACAGGTGATTGAGTTTGGGATATACTGTCAAACAAACTTGATGATGGAGAATATTTGGAGTGTAGAGGGAAGGGAAGAATCAGGGTAGACACCAGGGATTTTAGTGGAAAAACTGCGTAACTGGTGATTCTGTTTATTGTGATGGAGAAACTTGGGCAGTGCAGATGGAGATATGAAGATAAGTTTTGTTGTGTACAAATTAAGCAGTGATGCCTGTTAGATAACCAAGAGAAGATGCTATGCAATTAGTTTGATATATAAATATGCATAGGACAAGATAAATATTTAGGTAATCATTAATACATGATGGAAATTTTTAAAAAAATTTATGGAAAAATGGAGTTAGAAGATAAATTTATTTTGGTGCAAAAAAATTGAAATCCATGCAGTTTTTCCATAAGGGATATTTTACATGAACTTTTTGAGTATTTCTTAATTGTGTTTTTTTCTCACATAGGAAAACATCTAAATAATCACTTAATTTTATTTCTCATATTTACATTAATTATAAAATACTTTCTCCTAAATTTTTTAATTTCCCTTCAAGGTACAGTATTCTTCCTTTGAAAAATGTCTATATTATCCCTTGGTCATTAGTCATAAATATCATTGCCCATGATTAGACCAACATGATTCTTAATTATATAACAGAGAGTGGTTTCTATTACTTTTCTATTTGAAAAAAATATGTTCTTTGCTGCTTTCTACATATGGACCCCAAAAACTAGAAACAAGACATGAGGAAAATTCATTACCCTTTCAGAGAAACTGTTACTATATCTGACAAGCAAATTTATTTTTCACTTAGCTTAGTGCTTCCTGGAAGAGACACACCATTTCAGGTCAAAGTTACATGTAATCCATATGTATTATTTGTCTGGCTCTATTAGGATTGGTGGAAGTAATCACTAACACAAAGTGGACTTAATCTCAAGTTTACGAATTTGTAGAAAAACTAAGTTACCAATGTGTAAAATAGTACAAAAACAATAAAATAATAGAAATAATATCCAAATATTATAATTGTTTAAAGAGATAGTTATGATGATGACTCTGTGATTTAGACAATAGAACCATATCCAGATATTTGCAGAGCCTAGAACAATAATGTGAAATCCATAACAGAGAATGACTTACCAAGTGGTTGGCCTGCAATGATCCTGGCATTTTCTCCAGCCACGGCAGCTCTTGCATGTCGCTCACTCATATACTGTACAAATGCATAACCTTTGTGGACGGAGCATCCAACTATTTTTCCATACTTTGAAAAAATGGCTTCAATGTCAACTTTCTTAACAATAGCTGTATTTAGATTGCCGATGAAAACACGAGAATTGATAGACTTGGGGTCATTCTTATTGGTGACATTGCTGGTCTGTGTTTTGCCAGTCATGATTGGCTCACCTTGTATTAATCCTTAAACAAAGAAAGACAGAAACAATCAAAGGGTAAATTATTAGATTGAATGGATATCACTGGCACTTCAAAGTTTTTCAGTATTATAATCAGGAAACATATGGCAAATCCCTAAATATTATTAATTATTTTTAAAAGAAAATTTGATGAAATAAAAATTAAATATTCCATTGCTAAATCACAGAAAAATACTAATTATCACTTAACATATGGTTATAGTAAATTCCTGATTTATGTATACAAAATTCTGCTTTGAATAATGTCTAAATATTTTTTATTGGTTTTGATTGTTAGGTCTCCTTACTTTTCTGAAGGTTTGTGGAGTAAGCTACCTTATTCTATCAATGAAAAAGAAATTCCAAAATGGCTAGTGTCTGATGAATATAGTAAGAATTTAGTAAAGTAACCGCCATTTACTGTTTGAATATGTGCGTTTTATTTATACATTTTCCAAAACAGGTAGATATATTGCCAATATCAACATCTGAACCATACTATTAGACCCTAACAATTCATTTCATTAAAGGCTGTGGAAGAAAAAAATTTATTAAAATCGTAAATTCAATTAGAAAACACCAGACAAGCATAATTTTAAAATAAGAGATTTAACAAAAAGTAATTCTGTGCATGCTATTTATTGGAACCAATAATATATATATATCAGCTTAAAGAAAAAAAGAACAGAATGTTTAGCCATGCTTATCAGTGATTAGCAAATTAGTAGACTGGGTAACTGCTGAAACTTTATTCTTAACTTCATTTTTTAATCCATCTAACTCAAGGCTCATATGCTGCCTAAGAACTGTTCATATTTTTAAAACCTGTTTTCTGAGCTCCGCAGAGTGTTTAATTGTGCTTAATTAAAGCCAATGAAACTTTTATTTCTAAGTGTTCCTGCATTTACAGATTGATTTTAAATCCTTAAAAATCCATTCACTCATGAAATGATATTTTTGAAACACCTGTTGTCATCGTCCATAATTCCTATTAGTTTAAATAAACCATCATGGTGAAACTAAAAGTTCAATGAGGTGACAAACATTAACATTCATGATCATTGCTGGATATTAACTGTCAGTGACTACCTATACTTTTATATGAAGATTCTAGTTAAAGTATCATAACTATCAAAATAGTAAGTACATACATTTGTTAAGATTTGTTTTTAAGCAATTTTCTTAAGAAATCATAAAAACTTGTGAATTAAATATGCTTGAAAATTTGTACACTGCATTTAAAGCAGCTGCTCCTAAAGAAAGATCAATTAAACAGCATTTTTTAAAATTTAACTTGTTCTTTATTACATCTGGGACTAAAAGCCTCCTGTCACAGTGGACCCTCAACATTATATATATATATTTAATTGCAATTTCATAGAGAAACATTAGTTATTTATAAACAAATTAAGAGTGAAACACCATTAGAAACAAAGATTATAATGCTGTTTTGTGTTAAGATTAAGTACATTTAAGTCACTGCATCAATAAAAAAACTTGTAACTGAGCTATTACATACCTCCAATCAATCAAAGCAAGAAAAATAAAGTTACATATATATACATATCTATGTGTGTGTACACACACCCACACAACAAACAGGAATGGGCTTCAAAAAGTTAATGAAAAAATGCATTACTTTCTTTTACATTTAAAAAAAATGCTTGTTTTCATTTAATTTGAAAGGGAGAGAAGAAGAGGTGGGGGGAGACAGAGAGAGAGAGAGAGAGAGAGAGCAAGCGAGAACTACCATTCCTGGTCCATTCCCCAAATGCCTGCAACAATCAAGGCTGGAACCCAATCCAGATCTTCACATGGGTGGCCGAGATCAAAGTAATTAAACTGCTATTTGCTGCCTTCTAGGGTGCACATTAGTAGGACATGGGATATGGGCATACAAGCAGTGTCTTCCACTTTGCCAAACATCCCCACATTATCTTTTAATTCTGTTTTCCCTTCAACTTTTCGAATCACTTTTGAATTTTGTATATATTTTAATTTTATATAGCTCATTTATATATCTCATATATATATATTTCAATAAATCCAGTATAATTTTTTTACTAGTGCAGAATAACATCAGTAATACTTAGTTATACCATAAAAACCATACCATTTACCTTTGTTCTCATGAATTATTTTCAAGGATAAACATATTTCCTTTTAAACATTTATTTTTCCCAGACATGGAAATAGTGGTTAAAATGGAATCATAAGAATTGTTCGATTAGGTCAGCTCCATGATTTTTAGAACAGTCTGCCTCTGATAGTGACCTTCAGTCAAATTTAACATGACAACATAGCTGTACTCCAAATTCTCATTGTAAATCTCAAGTTGGTGTGTTGGCCCTATCCTTTTACTCTACAAGGATAACTCTCATAACTGTAACACCAAAGTGTCAATTGTAAAATTCTGATTAATGACTCAAAATCAACTTAAAATTCGCGTGTCTAATCTCACTTTCAATGAGTGATTTCCAGTTTCTGTTGGTGTTTATAATAACTTTGCCGTAGTGTTGTATATTTCTTTTCAACATACTCTAATGACAAGCTTCAACTCACAGGGTAATACTCTAGTGAAGAGAAGCTTGTACTTCTCTCACATGAGTTCTGAGCTGAAGAAGATTGCCACATTCAGCCACGATGGGGTAATAACCGTTCTGACTCAAACAACTAGAAAATCAGGCAAATGGAGATGAAGAGACTGTTCTTTAGACTTGAAACCACAGGCAGTGCAGAACCATGACATCTGAGAGCAAAGAAATCCAGAACATACAGGGTAGCATGGCCCCAGTCTTCTGCCTGGAAAGCACATTTCAGATCACAGAGTAGTAGACAGGGCTTGAGGGAGTAGTTTAACCAGAAAGAGAACCTTACTGATGAGGAGAAGGAGCTCAGAGCTCTGTTGTAGAACCTGGAATCTGCGAGGCAGATCCCTAGAGAGAAGATACGTGTGCAGAAAGGAACTCCAGAAATTTGCTTAGGGATCCCTTGCATCTCTGCTGATTGCTAAGACATACATGTAAATGGTCACATGTCATGAGGTTGATTAAAACACTGTTGGAAAATCTCATACTGCATGCTCCAGGACCCACAAAAAACTGAATTTCATTCGATTTCCTATCACCAAAAGTATGAGTTTAAAATGACTCCCTGAAGCATTAAGTTTAGTTGTCAGAAGGTAAGACTATACTTCCATGGAAATGACCCCTGGCTTTAGATATACTCTGAGATCACCCATCAAAACTTGAAAACAAGTCTCAAGATAAGCAAAAATAATCCAAATTTCTATCACAGACAATGGTAACACTTCTCCAGAAACACTCCCAAAAAAATAGATCTCAGATCCTGAGCAACATGAAACATATCTTGTTCAGCACCCAAATACTCCTAAAGATCTTAAGAATTAGAAAAATGACTCATGACCAACAAAGAAGTGAAATATATATTTAAAAAAATTTCCAAAGATTTAGTGGATGGATATTACATAAATATAGATTTGTGAATTGAAGTTATAGAAATAGGATATATAACCAAATAGTATAAATCTAACATGCTAATAAAAGAAAAAAGCAGATCTTCAGTGAGCTGAGAGTATCGAATTGCTTAACATGCATATACCTGCAGTCTCAGAGGAGTTAACAGAAAACTACCAAAAAATAATCACCATATATCTTTCAAATTTGATAATCTCTCAGATCAAAGAATTTAAATGATTCCTAAGCAGAATAGATACATAGAAAAGTATGCCAGTCACTTCATAAACAAATTACAGCAAAGCAAGAGAAAAAACAGGTAGGTGTCAGACATTGGAAAAATGCCTATGGTATGACACAAACATGGGGAATAACAAAGAAATGCGATGACAATAACACAAAAGACAATGGAAAAGTGAATTTTCCAGTGAAAACAAACTGCCTCTTTGTTTTTAATATAGAAGTTTGGGTGGGACTAAAGTAAAGTATCCATGAAATCACTGCAAAATAACATAAACTATGTTCCCTAGACTTTTTTGTGATGATGGGAATATTTGATATGTGCACAAGCCAAAAAATATACAATAATTGTATGTATCTTTTGAACCCTTGAAATGTGTCTATTGTCATCAAGGAACTGAATTTTTATTTTATTTAAAATTAAGACCATATTTTAATAAATTTTTATATACAAAAAAGCTAACAGGACTCTGGGCTTCTATACATGCAGGATAAAAAATCAGAAATAACCTGGTTATTTATATTACCTTTGTAGTGGCTATGTTACAGATTCTGAAAACTTAGGAAAGATATGATCATGTTAAAAATATTTCAAAAGAAGCACAAAAAAAAAAAAAAAACCTCAAGTAGCTTCTGTAGAAAAAGTAATTTAAAAGATATAGATTTTTCTACTGGAAAAATCACACCGAGAATGTAAAGGCACTATAAATCTATAAAGAATTTCTTTAGAAAAATAAAGCCATTTTATTTGTATTTGAGGACAATTTCTACATTTTATTCTAATCAGGATACATTAATTACAAATGAAGGTAGATTATAAAATGTGTTTTAGAGAAATTATTCTTAGAGTTGATAAAATTAATAAACAGAAAATTCTACATTTCTATTGATTTGGTTGTCCTGAATTGCAAACCTAAATTTTAGTCTCTCACATACACATACAGAATAAAGAAGCAACAACATAAAGAACAATAAATGACAACTAATCAGGAGAGTCAGCCAAAAATATAAGCAGTAATGTTAATCCATACTATATTCAAGATCCCAGCAAATGATTAAAGGGGTTAAAAATGAATAGGAAAAATGGATTACATGTGAAAAGCTATCATCTGCTGAGGTCTAGAGTTATTACTCAAGTAAATAGTTTAATATAAAACATAAAAAATGCTACAACATATATAACTACATTTTTAATTTCTAAAGAAACCAAGGCATATTATGTTAAGAGATCAGAGACAATTTCTTAAAGTGGTTGATGTTTGAGCTAACTATTCAAGATTAATGTGTG